GATGACTGCTCCACAAACCCGTAAGTTTAATGGACGTAACAAATTGGAAAATCGATTACTGCAGGCAAATCGCTATCACTTGAACCACTTTTGAGCACTAAAAACTTTCACAAACGGAAAACATCGAAAGATTATCGGCTTATTTTTGATCTGTTTGTTTTTTCATTATTAGCAAATCATAAAAAACTTACAATTTGAGCAGTGTCCAGATTACCAGCTTTTACCGCATAATGTATCGGCAAAAAACCGACCAAATCACGTATCTGCGCAACTGTATCATCGGCACGCAGCAACACTTTGGTACTCTGAAATATATATGTTCAATTTCAACACAAAATATAATCCCTAGCGCTGAATTTCCCACGATTTATGCCAGATATTTTTCATATATTAACAAATAATTTGGCTGCACTAAAGTATATGGTCGATTAGGATAACTTTTTTAATTCGCCAGTAATTAAAAAAGTTATCCTAATCGACCATATACCTTAGTGCAGCCTAAGACACCCGAGATTAGGTAGTAAAATGGGTGGTTCCAAGGCAGGGAGTGGGGGCGGCGGGCTTTTTGTTCCCCCCCCCCCATCCCCTCAGCGGCACAAACATCAGTGCTACAAAAGTTCGGGTCTAAAGCTAAAGAAAACTCTCTTCTGTACTCCCGGTCTCCCTTCCCACTCTTCCCAAGAGGCTCATTCCTCTTTTCTCCCTTCCCCTCCACCCTCGCTTCTAGCTGGTAGAAGCTTTACGCCCCTCATCCCCTACTCCCTCCCAGCCAGCCGCCCTGGATTCACCCCCGCATGAACTGTGAAGAAAGGGGTGCGGGTAAAACAGATCAAAACTAACAATTAATGCGAGATCGGATGGCGCTTGAGCTGCATAATGAAGCGGTGTACAACCCCGATGATCCTGATCGGTGGGCTGCAGTCCGGCACCAAGCAGTTTCTGCAGAGCATGGAAGAATCCGCTTCGCGCCGCATAATGCAACGCTGAACGTCCTTTCACGTCCACCTTTAGCACACTTGTCGAAGCAGCGCTCAGCAGATAGTCGATTACAAATTCACTAAAAAAATTAACTGAATCTGAGAAAAACAGAATTTGAGATCAAAAACTGAGACAGATTTTTGGACTTTTTCTGCATAAAGAGGTAAAAAAATCTTGCTGAGTTTTGCATTATGGGGCCGCGTGTATGATTATCAGTTTTTTGCATGAAGTCCGTTTGTTTTCCCTAAAACTCGAACAAAACAAGTCGAATTTGAAAAAAAAAAAGTCAAAACATGAGGTAGTGGTAGGGTTAAGACGAAAGAGAGAGAGGATGAAGCAAAGTGTAAACGTGGTTCAAAGCGCTGCAAACTAAGAGTTGTTAAACAACCAAAATATAAAATTCTGTCCTCTAATTGGCAGGACTGGCTTACTCTTTGAAGCCGGAACAGAAATAATGTCTTCACAGTAATTACATTTTGTACTATAAAAAATAGGATTTGAAATCAAAAACTGCCTATCCAAACACGACATCTTTTTATCTTTCTTTAGTTTCTGCTAATACTATTTCATCTTCATTTCATTATTATTAC